TATTTGCTGCTTTAAAACGAGAAGCGGATGCTTTTGGTCTAAAAAGTAAAAATTTAAGGCAGTAATCAAATCCACCACTTCTTTAATAACATCCGAGAACAAATATATTATGGTAAAATTGAGAACAATATTTCGAGCATGCAGAAGAGAAAGGCTTTGCTCAATAACGGTAGACAAATGTTTACTTTTACTCTTGTCATTATAAGCAGTTTAAATATTTTTGCTCAAATTTGGTCGTTAATTTCACGCCGTATCCATCTGAAAAGATGGAAATTGGATCGGGTCTGAAAACTAATGAATAATTTAAATTTGCCTAATAAAACTGCATGTTAACATCTACAATCGAATAGTTAAGCATCAGAATGAACACAAGAGCATTAATGCCAGTTGAAATAAAACTAGGAGTGGAATTATTGTTACTAATAAGTAACACACAAAACTCGTTACATTAGACATGCTGATACAATTTTTCAAGAGAATCGCACAAACATTGCAATTTTCTTAGAGGACGTAAATATTCGGTAAACGAAACCGGAGAAGTTTACTTGCATAATTTTTAGTTAGCAAACTTTACTGTTTGCTGCCATCGATCTTTGGCTAACTACTTTTGCACTTTTTATTTACATCTTGCCAATATTAGCTTCTACTGTTTTATGTGCTTCCCTTGTTTTAATGAGAGCAGAATACTTTCGGTTGAATAAATTGCTTGAGCTGAAAACGCCTAGTCATAGGACATATTCATTACAATACTCAGATGCATTCTGGCCAATGGACAATTAATCCTGAAAGTGAATTAGCATAACGAAATTAACGTTCTTGTTGGAAAGATTAGCTCTCGAACTCTCGTTTACGAACTGAAAATATTACGTTTTGAGTGAAATTCAACATTAGCTACATATCGGCTTACATGCATTACAGTTAAATGTTCTACTCGCATTTTGTTTGCTATCTCTCTATGAAATGAAACCAGTGCAAATACAGCGATGATACGCATTTTGTTTTTTATTAGTTTTGTAAATTAATGAACTCCTATTACTTTCCTGTTGCTATTCGAACTGGATTAAATAGAACCCGGTCTGAAGTAGATTGCATCAGTGTCTCACACTGAAACAAACATATGCTATTTAAGCAAGGTAAATATGCTTGAAGAACACACCATTAAAAAGATGAAAAATGGTGCAAAAAGTCAAAGTAAAATTGAGTATCTCACATACAACTAAATCGTAAAACTGGATTAATTGGCTGAAGCACATTCCTTAAAGCATGAATTAAAGCCGTTTAAGCGAAACAGCTAATTGGCTTAGCACTAAACTATCAGAACAATCGTGAGAGTTTGAAGACAAACGTTATTCCGTCAAATGGCGTTAGAGATTTATGTTTAGATAGATCCACCGCTCTAACTTTGCTCAATCTGTAACCAAACCAATGCAACTCGAACCAGTGTTAAAAAGTATTTATGCTTGAAAAGCAAAACCAGCTTAAAATTGACTGTATTTTGAGATCGTAATTGTTGATTGGTACTGTAAATAATGGCAATAGTTAATGGCATGGCCACTCGCTCATTTGTATATTAACAAGTCGTTTTATATTACAGCTACAATTTCCTATCTACGAGAATTGAAATTGTGAAGTATAACTTTGTGTGTTTACACCAAGCTTCCAGCACACATTAAACAAACAATGGACCAACAATATGTTCTACTCTAAATTGCAAATTTTAAGCCATTGATAATTTGTAATTGAACATTTATTGCCAGTCTAATCTAAATTCGTTATGCATAAACGCAAACTGCAATAAACTCCACTGCGTATGTGTGTACTTTACCAATATTGAAATTTTAATTGGAAGCTAAGGTATACGCTTAGCTACTTATTAGACAGACATTTACATGTAAACGCTACAGATATAGCACTAATATTCTCAAATAATAACACATTTTGCTAATTTTGTTAAATCAAAATTTAGGATGTTTATGCTTGCAGTCAGAATTAATCCAGTCTAAAGAATGCATACATACATACATATAAAAGAATTAGCACACACATTTATAAAAAAAAAAACGTTATTTAAGGAGAATAATAATATTTTATTGACTGTAGAAATAACGAAAGTGCGAAATTTAATAATAAAAATTTGGTAGTAGTAGAAAGTTGCCAGATACCAAACATTTTCGCTGCAATCACCACGTGCACCGACTAAATGTGCGCGCGCCGACATAAAATCAAACCGCTCTATTCAAGTATTTTTATTCATCCCCGAGAGATAATACGTTCTACTGGCATCTAGCTTCTTCGCATCATAACGACACAATCAATTTATTTTGCCACCGTTGATAAACAAAAACGTGAGATTGGTAACTTGTGAAGAAAATCCCTATGTTTATCGGACTCAAAAATTACATATCCAAGTTGTATTACTGTGCACTATTCAAAAATAAGGTCTCCAATAATTTGAGTATAAAACATACCATGATTTCAACAATTGTATTAAAAATATGGAACCGTCGTTCACAAACAAATTTTGATAAACATAAAATGTTTCGTCTACAATTTAACTAGATAATAAAAAAATTAAAAAAGTTTATGGCGGTTTCCTCCCCTTGCGATCTCCCTCTGCACACTCTCTAAAACATTTGCGAAGCAAAAATCTTTCAACAACTCGATAATTTACGAAACCCAGTTTTTCTACGTTCTCACATCTAACAAGACGATTACTTTCCGAATACGAAAGGCGCAAATACAAATAATTCTCAAGGAGCAAGTTCCTCAATTACTCGGAAAGCGAAAGTGTGTCATTAAAGGAATTGTTAACGTTAATGCGGACTAAGAAATGGGGACCATTTGAAAAGAAACAGTTTCTCCGCTGTGATTAATTTACTGTTATTGTGTAAGCCGCAATTGAGAATTGATTGAAGCTTTCAATATGCATCCTAATTTAGAATCCCTCGAAATTATAATTGGCATATAATGTAATATGCGCTAATGAAATTGCAAATAGATTCTACATTTAGTGAAAATTATAATACCAGGACGTTTACTCGTACTGGAAATGAAACAACATTTTTATAATTATTACAACTGCCATTGAATTGGAAAGTAAAATTAAAAGCACTGTAAAAAAAAATTCCTTGAATTTCTTTTAAATTAGTCTCATTAAATCCGGTAAAATGTTTTTTCTAATTAATCCTTCTCCTTTCTATGGGGTGAATGTATATTACTAATACAGAAATTTCAGGATTGTATTTTCCCAACAAGACTCAGATTTCAAACACTTTTAATTAGCCCTGGAGCAATGTTTTGAGAACAGGCGAGAGGAAAAGAGTTGCTAAATTAAGTTAAAACTTTTAATGAAAATCAGGAAGTGCGGGAAGAACGTATTTATGGTGCACAGATTTATCACAAAATTACCATCTTGTTCCTCATTTCGGCGAATTATTAAAAAAGTTTTTGAGGCAATATTGGACATACTCAACTTTGATACAACTTAATTTAATCGCAGCTCATGATTAATAAAATAAACATTAACTTGAAATTGTGCCGCTCTGCCTGTTGGGTGAATGTCCGATAAATTTATGCGATTTTTAAAACTGTATGTATGACTTAGTAAGTAAAAATAATAAAATTTAGGAGAAGGGAGGTCGAAACATCAGACTTGTTCGTTCTATAGACTTCGACAAATATGCGAGGAAACCAAATATAAACAAACGGAAGGATTAGAGCTGAGATAATTCTAAACGCAAATATATTTAGATATCGTTAACTAAAAGCACAAAAATCCACATTTTATTTATCATATTATTTCCTTTCGATTTTCAATAAGTATATTCAAAATGCAAAGACTGCATAAAATTTGTTATTAGCTCTCACGTCATTTAGTTTGGAAATATGTGCATTTGTTTCTTCCTTATTATCAGCAAACTTTAGTCGAAAAAACGAACTTACACAATTAATATACCAAACAGAATCAATCGTATGAACACCCTGTGAAGGCAAAGTTCGGAAAATGTGGGTCGCAACTGATAAAAGCCCCAAGCAGTCCTTACATAACTCAACTTATAATAACTTTAAATATCACCGTAAATCAAATTTTCAAGACTTTCTCCTACTGGTTTTTCACTAGAACTTTTAGCTTAATTTCGATTCTAATCAGGCTCTTTGCATCTTTTGAAATAAAGCTTCCCAACTAATTAGCGATAATAATATCAAGAAAATCTGGATGAATAGACTTTAAATTTACCAGATTTTCACATTTCAGATTAGTTGTGTAATTTATGAAAAAGTTTGTGATTGTTTTATGAATTTTAAGATGTTTGCAGTGTATTATCGCATCTCTTATAGCCGAGAGACACTAACTTTATAAAAATAATGATGGCGTGTTACACCTTAAAGTGTATCTGGGTTTACTAAAATATATTTCACTTTCTACGAAAATATGTTTTCTAATTTCTTCTGTAGCTTATACTGACTGTCGTGTTCATGGAAGCTTATTAAAAGAAACAATTTGAGTGTGGCGACAATAGTATTCTTTATATGCTCACAATCTCTTAGCACCGAAGCTAAATGAACACAAATTAATATTTTTCACAAATTGTGCAGAGAATTTTAACTCGATTTTAAGCGTATTTTTTTCGTGCTCCAAAATTCCATAATATAATGTAAAATGTTTAAGTTGAGGTGGTAATTTGTCAGGCACTATCAGATAAATGTATTGTTTAAAATAAATCCTTTTCAAGTATTTACCACTGAAATTGAAGCGCCTCAAACAAAACAATTATTAAATTTTGCCTTATATACCTGAAAACAAGTAATGTAGCGGAAATTCCAAACAAGTCTGATGAACTTGTTCAACAATGCCCAAAATATATACCCGCTTATTCGGAAAATACTCACCAACTCGATCTAAATTATTAGTTCGCAACTATTTAAACCAATGGCAAAAAGTAAAAATGAAACAATGTTCCCAGATTACTTTGTCTACAGTAAATTATATGCAAACTTACCTTGTGTTTCTGCGCAGAGCCCGGCAAAGTGGAAGACAATAAAAGTAAAACACAAGATCCATTTTTGCAGTTCCATAGCGATCATTTCAGCTATCCTTCACTTAACACTAATTGCGCCAAGAGGATGGCCCACTTCACAAAACTTAACTGTATCATGTCCAGTCAAACCTCCGTTACTACAAGGCGTTGGTTATAATGGAAAGAAGAACTGTTCCGCATCATATACTCGAACAAACACCTGAAAAAAGAAAACACTTTTAGTACCTGATACATAATTATATATTGATTGAATGCATGGGTTTGAACTTAGAACACACAGACATTTAAGCACTGTCATTTTTAACTTTGACCACCAACACGATTGCAAAGAACAAACCAGAGTTGGTGATACCTTCTCAAGTCAAAAATTTTCTTTATTAATTCACAGCTGGAAGGAAATTAAAAACGGTTGAAAATTAAATGGCGGAATACACGAGTTGAGAGGAGAGTCAAAAGTTCAAATTTAATATTGCGAGTTTTGCATAAATCACATTTTAACACGTTTATTTCCATATGTATCCACTGCAATTCTAGTGGAAAACTGTCTAATATTGCTCGACATAACAAGATAAAGCGAAAATATATTCGGAGTTTATCTGCTTCTCTTGCATCGCGCGGTTTCTTAAAACGTTCAGAAATGTTGGCTGTGGGAACAGCAAAAATAAAGGAGAAACATTTTCCGGAATATAGATGTTTGCACAGAAATATTATTATATTTTCAACAAATATATGTTGTATACAAAAATGTGCAAAACCAGCAAATTGACATCCCCAAGTCGAGATAATCTATTATGTTAATAAAGTGAGACTATTCAGAACACCTTTTATATTGGTCTTTATTGAGCATATTTTTTAAGACAAATTAACCAGGTTTTCATGGATATTGTCCAGAATCGACGTAAAAGAAAACTAAAGTAAAATTTCCATTATCCATTAAAAAGTCTAGTAGAATTTTGCATGATTGGGCTACTAAAGTTATATATACCTACTAAAGTAATTGTGACAAAAACAGGAAATAAAATTTGAACTTAAATCAGTAAAGTTTTATTTTTAAAATTGTGTAAAATAAGTTATGGTCAAATGCACTACACAATCGCAATACTTTTCCGGTTTTAATAAAATGCATTTTATTTAGGGTTTTACTTCATACTATCTTTCCTGGCTTCTTGCTGCCTCGACAGGGAACGATTTAAAGACTTTTACGAGACCGTAAGGAAGTACAACAGCAAACTGTGGGGTTGTAAAAGGAAGATAAATCCCAAATACATTTTCGTTATATAAAGTTTGTATCATGTGGTGTTTTATGCCGGTCCGTTTCATTTTATTTTAAGATCTATGAGTGAACATTTGACGCTTCAAAGGATAATTTTCTGCGTAGAATATGCTTTCAACATGAAAAATAATTAGTAATACAGTGACTTTCTAATTGTTTACACAAATAAACTTAAATAATGGAATGTATCATGAATTTTAAAATTAACATAAAAAGAAATGAGAATATGTTTATAAATTAACTAGATTACGCTATCAGATTTGACATTCGGCATTAATGAAGAGTGTAGGAAATGATGGAAAATATTTAGTAAATTAGCGAACATTAATTTGACCAGACCACTGCAACATGTTGCGCGAAAGCATTGTAAACGATGAAATATTTTCCTATTCTTTTAGAATCGTCCCCTTCTGCTGATTGCTGCATTTTACATACAATACGAGTGTAGGAAAAGGTTCCCAAATATTTAATGCTAGATCCTCTAGCTTCCCAAATAAATCTAAAATCTATGAATAGACATAAAAATAATTACTTTACTATTTGTTTTCATCAATCCATTTGAAATTGCTGATTTTTTTAAAAGTCCTTTGATAACACCTTTCATACGTTTAATTTTTCAAACAACATCTGATAAATAAACCGTACGATTTAAATTAACATCAATGCTATATTATTCTTTACTGTAATCTAAAGACAAATGTATTTAAAGTTAACCCATCAACGTAAATCTATCCCGGCACTCAAACTTAAAAAACAACTGTTCAAACATGCTAAACACCAAAAATGTATTATTAGTTAGTTCACATCTGCTTATCATAAACTGGCATTAATTTTCTGCTAATTCCATAGTTTTGGGATAATTTATTGGAACGCTTTATATTGAAATGGCATCTACCTATTTCTCCCAATCCCACAAAGTTGCTAGAAAGAGCTTTCACAGCAAAGCTGCCATGCTGGAAAATTGGAATACTCCCTTGCTCCGATTCTATTGCTTCCTCTTTCATAACAAATCTAACAAGCTCAGTGGAAATATGTCACAAAGTCCCAACATCCTCGTAACCCTTATATGCGAAATTAAAACCGCGGTTCTCCAAACACCGATAAATTTCAACACTTGCCATAACAATTCGAAGAATGGGGAAGGACTGGTAATTCATTTCAAACTGTCGAAACGTTTTTCGGTCATAAATTACGCAGATAAGTAGGGAACAGTGTGAAATGGCGTTAATACTGAAGACCTCGATGCTGTTAACATGGAAATTCGAATGCATTCATAAGCATAGCGAAGAAATATTTTCAAAAAAACGAACTTATGAGTTTTCAGTGCAAACTTCAGGTATGTAAGTTGAAGGGACAATATTAGTTTAGTTAAATTTCAGTTAAGAAAATTTAGGGAGGTTTAAATATTCTAATGCAGTTTAAAAACCCATTTTCCATGAAAATGTGGCACTTGATCTACCGGCGATTTTTCAATGAAAAACTTTTTATCATCGTATCGTATTTTAGCTCTCAGCTAGGGGATTTTAAAATTTAGCTTAAGGCTAAATTTTCTGACAACATCAATATTCTGACCCCAGTTACAGGGAGAAATGAACGAAATTACGCATTCAAAAACAATTTCAATCCCAAAGTCCATTAATCCGATTTGAAGTAGTATTCAGCTTCAGCTATTACCGGGATTGCGCTTATAATGTTTAAAATTTGCTTTGTGCTGTCGAAATGTTAAATTGTAAATTGCCCCGGTCAACTTGGTTTTTCAAATAAAAGCAGTATTACATTTTTGTGGTTTTGTGTACACTAAAATATATATTTTGTTGTAAAACCGCGGGACAACGTGCAACCGCTTAACGGTCACTACTTCTACAAAATATATCTCTAATACAAAAATTACTCGGTCGTGTTCTCTAGGCTTACGGCAAAGGTCTGACTTATTTAACCGATTTAATATTGCCAAGAATTGATAGTGTGCATAAATCGACTTGAAAGATGTATTTTTAAAGCCATGTTTACCTATCAACAATCTCCGTTATTGTTCAAAAAATAAATAAAACCATAAGCTCCAAAGTAAGTAGGTACCTCAAAAGCGAAACGTTAAATTATTTTCTTTACTAATTAGTGTATAAAATATTCAGCTGCATCTTGGGTAGATAATTCAACCGGAATTTCAACTCATTTTGGAGAAAATGCAAATGCCATTCGATCAGCGACAGCGATATCCGAGGATCGGAATTTGCGAAATTTTCGCTATGGCCCTCAAAATTTGCATTATAGCAAAACAAGTCTCATAACAAAGTAAATAAGTGCTGTAAACTTACACTTAAATGCTGCTTTGTGGCATTGTTGTGTGTTGAACGGATACAGAGTCTTAGAGCTTGTCTGGAATAGTCACCGCTCAAATTAAATGGTTCGATTATACCCGGTGAAGTAGCACTTGTTCGTGGTAAGGAGCTCCTCAGAATATACCTTGTAGAAGCCCTTATCAATATAAATACATATTAAAAGCATTTTTGTGCAAGATCGATCAGCAGTCTAGTGTTGAATTTGAAAGGGTGATTTATGCTATTAGCGCATAAGTAGAGAACAGATAAGAACGGAAATGGTTAATGCATGAAGGCATTTCACGGCACTCAACTTATTACCCACTAATCCATTTTACGCCTTGACAGCTATGATTTTGGTGTTTAGTAGGTTACCACGTACCCCATTTACTTTTATATCATTGTCACCAGGCTGCCTGCGCTTAATGGTACGTGAAATCGATTAATCTACATGCGGGGAACTCCTACATTTATTACACAAATGCACTAATATTCTATTCATGCATTGTACGCTGTAACATCATTTCTGAACACCAGTCAATTTGATTTAAAATGCGCAAAAAAATTCCCAGGAAGATGAGCTTTTAAGTTAGTTCAAAATCGGACGTTTATGTAATTACCCACTAATCACTATTATCGAGGGCCTCTGTTCAGCGCCTTCTCACTGACTTCTCAGAAGCGACTCAGAAAGGATTGAGCTTCAGGTTTGAACGTCAACGTCTCGTTTAAAATAGAGAATGGCTGCAAAACTAAGAGTCCAAGTGAACACGCATTTAGAAATACAATTAGATGGCTACGGAGGACGAAAAGGGTTTGTTGAGGCCTCAATCCCATATGAATTCTGTAGAAGTCTGCTAGCATGCGAATTTACAGGTAGTTCTGTAATATTGGTCATATCAACTATTGTTAATATTAATAATTATGATAAGTTATTTCTGCGTCTGGCCATGTATGCACATTACTGGAAAGCAAGCACTATTCCGCTGACAGAGCACAATTTCTGTAAAAGGAAGGGTTGATCGCAATCGAGTTACATGCAGCAAAAGTGAACAGAGCAAATAATTTCACTCTAATTCGACTGTTTGCAGAGAAATAATTTCATGGGATTGGCCTCTAAGAGTATATTCTACGATTAACGTTAGGATAGATTTGTATCTCAATTTTACCGAGTTAATATCGACAATTATTTCTTACGACATTAAAATTTCAACTGCAATAAACTCAAGATTAACCGATACATTTTGAGATTAATTAAGTTCATTGTACATACTTTCCTCACTGTGTTTCAATTCCAAATCAAAATTAATTCCCTAAATTTTGATTTGGACTTAATTAAGTTGGAGGTTTAACTGTAACATATAAACGAAATGTGGAACTACAAATCCATAATCGATAAGTTGTTATTTTGCTTGTACTTAGAGCAAACAACGTTTAGCGGAAATAGTCACAAATTAGGCCTTCATCGAACACAATAACATATAATAATATTTTATTTCAAGATAGAACCTTTACAAATGTACTATCAGATGAAGAAAATGGATTGCAATTTATTTTGTGCTTCCCAAATATTAGATACGAGTTCACGTTAACAAGGCAATTACGATGTCC